CCTCGGCAGCGGGGCTCGGTGCCGCTCCACGCGCCCCCCTCGAGGCAGCGGCGCTCGGCCGAGCCCACGAGCTGCAGCCCCGGGCGGCACCGGAACCGAACCACGCCCTCCACCGCGAACCGGGCCCGCGACCCCTCCATGGAGCCCCCCGGAGGAACGGCCGGGGCGGGGCAGTCACCGGCTGGGGGGCACGGGGGGTCAGGGCCCGGGAGGGCCGAGAACGGCCCGAAAATAGCCCGGAACCAGCCCGAAACCAGCCCGAAACCAGCCCGAAAAGAGCCCGAAAAGAGCCCGAAAATAGCCCAAAAAAAGGCCAAAAATAGCCCGAAAATAGCCCAAAACCAGACCAAAAAAAGGCCGAAAATAGCCCGAAAAGAGCCCGAAACCAGCCCGAAAATAGCCCGGAACCAGCCCGAAACCAGCCCGAAAAGAGCCCGAAAAGAGCCCGAAAATAGCCCAAAAAAAGGCCAAAAATAGCCCGAAAATAGCCCAAAACCAGACCAAAAAAAGGCCGAAAATAGCCCGAAAAGAGCCGGAAAATAGCCCAAAAATAGCCCAAAAGTGGCCCAAAACCAGCCCAAAACCAGACAAAAAATAGCCCGAAAATAACCCAAAAATAGCCCCAAAAATAGCCCCAAAGTAGCCCAAAACCAGCCCGAAAATAGCCCGAAAATAACCCCAAAATAGCCCCAAAAAAGGCGAAAAAATAGCCCGAAAATAGTCTGAAAATAGCCCGAAAAGAGCCCCAAACCAGCCCCGAAAAGACCCCAAAAATAGTCCAAAAAGAGCCCAAAAATAGTCCGAAAGTAGCCCGGAAATAGCCAAAAATAGCCCGAAAATAGCCTGAAAATAGCCTGAAAATAGCCCCAAAATAGCCCGAAAATAGCCTGAAAGTAGCCTGAAACCAGCCCGAAAAGAGCCCAAAAAGAGCCCAAAAATAGCCCGAAAAAAGCCCAAAACGGGACAAAAAACAATCCCAAAACCAGCCCAAAGACCCCTCC